GTTACATATCGCCGCGAACGTCGCAGTGAGAGCAATCATTTTAGGGCCATCAATCACTGATAACACTAAACTGATGAGCGGTAAAAGCTTTTAAAGCGTCACCTATGGCCAATTTTGGGTATTATCGTTTTTTGAGGTTTTGGCGCGCGCACCCAATTTTAAGGCTTGACATGTTTGGTGTCTTTTTACCCGACGTGACCCCGTCTTTTATATTTTACCAAAAAATTGGGTAATAATAAATGTTTTATCATTTAATATAGGGGAAACAGTTATTTTTTTTAATTTTCGGTAATTTTTCCTTAATATAGTAAAAAAATAAAACCCCCAGTGGTGATTAAATACCACCAAAAGAAAGCTCTATCTGTCCCCAAAAAAGGGTATAAAATTCATTTCAGTACAGCGCTGCATGACGGAATAAATTTCAATCAAAGTACCGCAGCGCTGAATACTGAAAAATGGCCTGGTCAGGAAGGGGGGTTTAACACCGCGGATGTCAACTGGTTAAGAAACATTTTCCCCTGAGTTCTTCTTCAGGTTTAGAGATACAAGTCATACATCCAACTTCCATTTTACGTTTGTGCTCAGCATTATTCTGCTTCTTTCATCAGCTGACATCTCCGTGTTGTCATAGTTCTCCGTTAAAAGATGCTTAAATGCATTTTTAAGATTTGACTCCCGAGTTTAGTGTCACTTTAAGAACGTCCTAAAGGTCGTAAAGAAGGGTGCTACAAACACTAATAGCATCTCAGCCCCCTACAAAAAATACATTTTTTTTTTTAGAAAAACAATGGCCATTTCTGTTGAAGAAAACCCTTCCCAGCCATGGACTCTCCTCCACATCAGAATGCCATTAATGAGCCATTAAATACGCATTTCCTTTCCAGGCCTTATTTTATTATCTGTGGGAGCCGACAGTCCTGCTCCCACCGACTAACAATTATCTTGTGGCGTGGATATGGACAACAAATTTCTCAAAGATCCCAAACATCACCAAGGCACAATGCATTAGAAACTGAGATGACGGACCTGATCCAAAGACACAACCAGAAAGATAAGAAATATTTTTGCTTCATTATTGTTTGGCATGCTCTGTGAATGGGAACACATAAACTAGGGCTGGAAATAATTATTTTCATAATCGATTAGTTGGCCGATCATTTTTTTCGATTAATCGGATAATGAAAAAAAAAATATTCCATCTGTTATTTAAAACAAAAAACACACAAATGGAGTATCACAAAAAGAAAGTTTACTTAAGAATAAAACTGCATGCACAATTTTTTGCAATCGCACTGCCCTGGAACGCACAGCATTGTGGTGGCACGCGTTCAAATGCAGGCGATTGCACACATTGGTGGTGGTAGTGGGGGCGGTGTCTTTGCTTTTTTTTTTACATTTATTTTATGTACTTTTATTTTTGTTAACGTTATTGCTATCATATGGTGGGGCTCAAAATCCCCCTATGTGATAGCATACTGGAGATGACAGGTTCACTTTAGGTGACATTAGGGGTCTAGGAGACCCCGTGGGTCACCTTTCCACTTCTAAGGAGCTATTCAAGCACACATGGCTTAAATAGCTTCAGCCAGGGAATGTAAAAACACAGCAGGCAGTGGGTGTGTGCAATAGCCAGTTTGCGATTAGCTATTGCAATTTGAAACAGCCAATAGCAGGCTGGCTATTGCACACACCCACTGCCAATCAGCAGAGGAGGGACCTAAAGGAGAAAAGTTCTCCTTCAGGTCCTCCTCTGCTGACTGACAGCAGGCGGGTGCAAAAGCAGGCCTGCTATTGGCTACTGCAAATTGCAATAGCCAATAGTAAACTGGCTATTGCATACACCCACTGCCTCCGAGCCTCTCCGACCCGTCTAGCAGCTCCGCACCTGACCCGCCCCCCCCTCTCTCGGACATGGCACCTGACAGCTCGTCTGTCTAAGTCGGGATCCGCTCCAGGTGCGGCGTCTCAGTATACCGCGAGCTGTAGCTCGCGGTATACTGAGCCTTGGCTGACAGGAGGAAGCTAGTTTGTGTCCTCCCGTTACCCCAAGGAGAACTATGGGGAAAAACACTGACCCCATAGTTCTCCTTTAACTAATCAATAATGAGAATCGTTGATAATGATTCTCATTATTGGTAATTATCGATTAGTTGTTGCAGCCCTATAACAAACAAACACTTACAGGGTTATTCATAAAAGGGTGACGGGTTTGGAGAAGGCAGGAGACGTGAACAATCTAGGACAACATCGCTGAACTGGAAAGTGAGCTGAATTGGAGAATGTTTCCAAACCATCTATTCTGGCCTAGATTGTTCACTTCTCCTGCCCTCTCCAAACTCTTCACACCAGTGAATAACCCTCAGCGTGAGTTTGACAATTTTGATTGCAAAAATGGAAATACTTTAAAGTGCAAGTTCACTTTGAAGAAAAAAAAGACGATCAGCAGCATTTCTATGACCATGTGAGTTTCTTCTGCCATAAAAGTGTCTTGCTGTCATTCAGCATTTTTTTTTAACTCTACATTACGCCGCTCATAGGCAGCTCAGTGTACAGGCTTGGCATGCCGAGATGAAGTAACTGCCATGCGGGCAGGGCCCTCCTTACCTTCTTGTCTTGAATTGTATTGTAATGTCTTCCTTATTCTGTAAAGCGCTGTGCAAACTATTGGCGCCATATAAATCCTGTATAATAATAATAATAATGTGCATGCATGGGAGTTACGTCATGGGGACTAGTGATGGGCTCGGCGTGTTTGCAGCTCCACGTGCCGAGCACGTCAGGAAGCTGACGGCGCCAATCACAGGCACTGAGACATATCCCGATCTCTGCAGCTGCGGACCGGGATAATGTTTCAGTACCTGCGATTGGCGCTGCGGCGCTGTCAGCTTCCTGGCGGGCTCGGCACGTGGAGCTGTGAACACACCCGAGCCCATCACTAATGGGGACCAGGCCAATCATGCGGCTGAAGACTCAAAATCAAGACGACCAGGACAAAGATGGCAGAGCCGACAAGAGAGAAGTCTGCTATTATGTGCTAATATGCTATAATAGTGGTAACATAATAATTAGAGGTGCACCAAAATAAAAACAATTGTCAGGGCAAAACCGAAAATGTTTTTATTTTCATTTTTTCAATTTTTTTTTTATTTATGAATTCATTTTTTATTAAATATTTTTTACTTTACTTTTTAGGGGCTTTGGGGAAATATTAGGGGTCTAAACAGACCCCTGATATTTCCTTTTTAAAACCCCTGATATTTTCCTTTTAAAGTCCTCAATCTCTTTTTCTGTATCCCCTGTTATCAATGAACAGGAATCCTCTATACTGAGTGTTCCTGATCATTGATAACTTGAGAATATAGTATGTTTACTATAACCACAATTATGAATGAACAGGAGATGATGTAGCTCACTCCCATTCATTCATAATTGAGGATATAGTACAAATACTATGTCCTCAATTATCTACAAACACTCAGCAATCACTGACTGCTTGTACCGCTCTCCTCCTTGACAGGCTGTCACAGGAGGCTGAGTGAACGGTGCGGGGAAGAGAGCTCAGCCTCCTGTGACAGCGCAGGCTGTCTCCGCCCCCACACCGCTCTGCCAGACTGTGATAAGATTCTGAGCGGTGTGGGAGGAGAGACGCCGGCCGATCACAGCGCTCTGCCGGCTGTCACTTTCTTTCCTCCCCGCTGGGACACAGAGCAGCGCCCACTGGGGAGGAAAGAAACCAGGGATGCGCCGACTTATCGGCACAAAAATTGCACATTCGGCAATCATGCCAAAAAGTGCCATTTTCGGCCGATATGTTTCGGCGGCCGATATATCGGTGCATCCCTAATAATAATGGTATACTTGCAAATAATGACTAAAGCTCCTGAGGGCCCATTTTATTTTTTGGGAAAGTGCTTAAGTGCCGCTTTAAGAGATCTCATCTATACGGTCTGCAGATTTTCTCCAATGTTTTTTGTAATGTCATCATTATCATCATCAACTCACTTTTGGAACATAATCACATCCCAAGAGGATCGCCAGAGAAACGAGGGACTCTCTGTCCAAACCCAGCTTGTCATTAATGGCAGAAACTTCATAGCAATCCACATGAGGGTCCTGCAACAAGACAAGAAGAACTTCGATTAGACCAAACTTGAAGATAAAAGAAACATCTTTATAAGGTGGTCATGCAGGTTATGGAGGGGACGGTGGGGATGCAATCATCACACCATTGCAGTCTTGAAAACATATATTTATGACATACTAGATCCTAGATCCATCACAAATTCAAAAATGATGGTTCTTCCCTCTTTTAAACGAATGTACTAAAGGTATATGGCGGGTGCCATTGCTGATCTGCCCTTTTGCTAAATATTAGCTGCCTGGCTGTCTTGCTAATCCAGTGGCTTCGGTATTTCAGAGTGGATGGTATGACACTCTTGACTTCATTCTCATTTTCCTGAACTGCATCCTTGTTCTGGGTCAATGTCTCCAAAAGCACTGAAGCCAAGGACAGCCAGTCAACCAGTATTTTTAGAAAACCAGTACAGGCTACCTTTAAATAAATGGGTGGAGCTATGCAAATCACCCTTACACGGGCTCGCGGTATACTGATGCTAGGGTGACGGGATGACGCTAGTTTGTGTCCTCCCGTTACCCTAAGGAGAACTATGGGGAAAAAAACACTGACCCCATAGTTCTCCTTTAACTCCGGAGTTTAGTGTCACTTTAAGAGGCAGGTCTAGAGCAGTGGTTCTCATCCTGTGTAACCTCGCGACCCACATTTGTTCTTGGTCATTAAGTCATGACCCAAGTCGCACTGCAATGGAATGACTGGTATTGCAGTACCGGGCATTGGGTGCAGGTGGTCGGACTGTGGGCGAAGGTTCGTTTGGGGTGTCATTTAAATGAATGGCAACGCAACGCACCTTCCACACCGGAACACGCAGTAGGTGCAATTGCATGGTACAGAGCATTCATTGCATGGGGCTGTTTGATTAATGCATTGTACTAGTGTGAATGGACCCTCAAAAACACTGACAGACATTCTCACACACACACTCCTAAAAAAATTATATATATATATATTTTTTTTAAGGTCCACCCAGTCTCCCTACAATACGAGAACTGGAGCGGATCCTCAGCCTGGGGTCCAGTGTGGGCTCCTGTGCAGAGATGGAGCTCCATCCATACATGCATTGCTTGTACAAACCCCTTGCACGCCCTGTAGAGATGCCGGGAGCCAGAATGTTAAGTCAGTGCAGTCCAGGCACCTCTACAGGGCACATGCGGGAGCTGTAAGCAATGCACGTATGGATGAAGCTCCCTGAGCCATACTTCCAGCACACCCCACCTCAAGCTGACACGCAGGGCCATATTCTGAATGGCTGCTCGGCACAAGTACTGACGTTTCTGCGCTAAGGGGAAGATGGGGAGTCCTCACATAGAAGGAAGGCATATCGCCATCTGCTGAACATGTGGTGGCGACCCGCTTTTGGGTCATGACCCACTAGTTGAGAACCAAGGCTCGAGAGAGAGAGAGGAGAGAGAAAACAAACTCTTATCACACATTAGACAATCCTGTGATTTGTTTGGGGTGGCTGGACGTTGGCTTTGACCCAAAATGGTAAGTGTCTAAAAACAAATCAGAAACACAATAGAACTGTCATAGCACACTGCTGCTGCAATGGTTAGAGCGCCATCTAGTGTATGTAATGAAGACCTTCAGTTTAGAACAATAAACTTGGTCTAGTTACCCGATAGGGATGCACCAATACGAGCACCGAATTTCCTTTTTTGGTACTCGCCGATACTGACTACTGATACTCGCATCCAGAGAGACCATGAGCCAACTTCCTGATTACCTGGGAAGCCGGTGTCCCATAGAAAAACACCGGCTTCACGCTCCCTCGTAACACTGCGATGCAGCTGGCTTCCTGACCAATCATTGATTGATTACAGTTTTGCTAGGCAGCGTGAAGCCGTCTTTCTAGCCAATCAGGAAGCCCGAAGGCAGGTCATGACGTGCCACCCGGCTTCCTGATTGGTCAGGAAACCAGGCTGCCTAGTGAATAGTGAAGCCGGCTCCATGCTCCCTCTTGGCACTGCCGGTCAGGGGGAATCTCCCTCTGACCAGAAGTTCCGGTATCAGGGTAAGTATCAGGTATCAGAGCATTTGGGTGAGTATGAGTACTCGGTTTTGGCACAGATACCGATATCAGTATCGTGCATCCCTAGATGCCAAAGACTTGTCCTACGACATATATAACATACAGATCCGGGTTGGGATAGGAAGCCGAGGACTCCAGTCCTGCAAAGCACTAAACTAGGGGGCAGGTTTTCTAGATGGTCACATGCAGCGCCCAAAGACACGACATTATCACTTGATCTGATATGTGGGCAGATCCGACATCTCATTTAGGGGCAGTTCTTTTAGAATCCAATTCTACTGAATGTGTGTTTGCATTATAGAAGAAATATTCTATATTACACCGGCACAGACAAGAAAGAGTAGGACACAGTGCAGTATAAATAAAACATAAACATATTGCATTTTATATCAGACCTACACATGACAATCATCTACAGAGGGGGAAAAAAACACAACACACATCAAACAAAACTGTAAAAAAGTAAAGAAAAAAAAAAAAATGTTGAACATTTGGCTTTGACCCCCAAAAATAACAGTTTCTAAAAACAGTATAGCCGGCATATCACACCGGTACTGCAGAGGTTAGAGCGCCATCTAGTGTGTTTATCACACTGGTACTGCAGAGGTTAGAGCGCCATCTAGTGTATTTATCACACCGGTACTGCAGAGGTTAGAACGCCATCTAGTGTATTTATCACACCGGTACTGCAGAGGTTAGAGCGCCATCTAGTGTATTTATCACACCGGTACTGCAGAGGTTAGAGCGCCATCTAGTGTATTTATCACACCGGTACTGCAGAGGTTAGAGCGCCATCTAGTGTATTTATCACACCGGTACTGCAGAGGTTAGTAGTATAGTGGACGTAGACCCCCAAAAATAACAATGTTAAAACGCCATCTAGTTGACTTATCACACCGGTACTGCAGAGGTTAGAGCGCCATCTAGTGTATTTATCACACCGGTACTGCAGAGGTTAGAGCGCCATCTAGTGTATTTATCACACCGGTACTGCAGAGGTTAGAGCGCCATCTAGTGTATTTATCACACCGGTACTGCAGAGGTTAGAACGCCATCTAGTGTATTTATCACACCGGTACTGCAGAGGTTAGAACGCCATCTAGTGTATTTATCACACTGGTACTGCAGAGGTTAGAACGCCATCTAGTGTATTTATCACACCGGTACTGCAGAGGTTAGAGCGCCATCTAGTCTATATAATGAAGAGTGTCTCCCACCATAAGCCTTGGTGTTGATTCCGGTGAGCTGTTCTACATAAGATATCACACACATTTCTTTTTATTGCTGTGGGGGCAAGGAAAGCCGCACTTCCTGCCATTATCAATCTAATCCTGTTCGATCACGCTCTCGTTCTCTCCTCCGCGCTCCCTCTCGTTTTCTCCTCTCTCGCTCCCTCTCCTCCTCCCTCCGCGCTCCCTCTCCTCCTCCCTCTCTTTCTCCTTCATAAACAATTAGCAGTGCCATCCGCCCTGCTAACTTGACTCTACATTCATGCGAAGGGAGGCAAAAATAAATATTAGCATATTTTCCTTTCAGGTTGAATGTAACAGGTAAATAGCGCATTATGGCCACTAGATGGAGTTGAGGAGCAATAGGAAACAGAGACTTCTTTTATTACACTCTTCAGCTCCATCTTTCTAGTGACCATAATGTGGTATTTACATGAAATGACATCTGGAAAGAAACTTTATTAATAACATTCATTTTTTTGCCTCCATTTGCACAGAACAAAATGTACACGCAATTGGGCCGGGTGAATCGCTCTGTACATTTTTGTTATAAATTCACCTCTTATTGTCTACCAACCGCGCAAGACATGCAACTGCCTACCTTCACTAGTGCAGAATTGCCGAAAAACTATATTACAACGGCCACTGAAATGAATTGATATCAATTAAACTGATACGACTCAACTTTGGAGCCATGCTTCTATCTGTGACTTGGTAACGTGAAGGTTAAATGACTTGCTCACGGTCCCTTTGTCAATCTGTTCAATAATCTCATTTTTCTCCCAGGAGCCCCGCTCGAGGGATTTGCCCCGGATCCAGGTAGCCAGCTCCAACATTGGTTTTATGGCTGCTCATGTGCAAAAGAAGCATGGAGGTCTACAATACAGGTCACTATAGAGGAGTCCAGAACCAGACACAGTCCATACCTTGACATTCATGGTGAAGTTCCTATACACGGTCCGCGCTCCGTAGAGGAACACATCGCCATCGTTGGTAATACATCCATCCACATGGCCCTTGGCGTTGAGATACGCGCACATGGCTTCAGCTTCTCCTGCTGCTTGAACCCAAGGGACACCCAGACAGTCCAACATGCGGAGACACTAAAGAGGGAGACACAGCACACAGAAGAATATTAACTCCAGAAGTCTAGTCTCTAAAATTTATACTTCACACGACCCCATGGGGCACATGTGAGCCCTACCAGATCACATGTTGTTGTCAGTAAAGCCGCATAACTTCCTTCATACGCATAACGTTTACTTTGCAAGTCGCAGGGATCTATTACAGGGGTGTGCAAACTTCTGCACTTCAATGTGTTGTGCAACTACAAGTCCCATGAGGCATTGCAAGACTGGCAGCCACAGACATGACTCCCAGAGGCAAAGACATGATGGGATTTGTAGTTTAACTACAGCTGGAGTGCTCTGGTTGCCTACCTCTGGTCTATTATAAAGTAAAATGAAATCTAAATGCCTTATGTTAGGCATTTAATGACATTGATATATCATTATTTATTACAGGACCACAGGGGTCCATGGCGGGGCCTAGGCAGCTGGCAACCTCCCAGACTTGGAGAGGGAGGGGAAGTACTAAGAGCCAATCAGATACGCTGCATGCACAGATGCAGACAGGAAAAAAGCAGACTAATGTTTAATGTATAACTTGAATGGGGGGAAAAAACTGGTACTAGGAAGACTTATTGCAGAAGACTTCTGCTCCTTCTTTTCGATCCATCAATGGATGGATGGACGCACAGCTCAGTGTACAATCTCAGCACAGCTGGGTGCCGGGATAAATTGCTTCCTGCGCACACGCTCGCGAGTTCCGACATCCTGGGCGGCCAATATAGATGACTGGAGACACGATAACTGGAAGAAGACATCAGAGGCGATGAAGGAGATCATGGACTTGCAGCATTGGAGGGGAGGCGACTGCTGTGGAAAAGTCTACAGCAGGGGTCCCAAAAAACAGGCCCGTGGGCCAATTGCAGCCAGCGAACTGGTACTATGTGGGCCGCAGCCAGCTGACAAGTCAGACACGTGGTCACGGGCCGCATACCTGACTTGCGGGTGCAGCTACACGGTCCATATCTCTGTCAGATGCAGACCTGCTCCTGTCAGTGAGATCCATTCAGCCAGCGTTCTGACAGTCTTCACTGCACGCCGGATGAAAGGATGGATTAGTAAGGTCTGAACCAGAGCTTACTAATCAACCACTGGAGCACCAGGGATTGTGCCTCCTCGCTGCAAAAGCATATGCAGGTGAGGGGGCTCTTTGTTTTATTTTGTATGCGAGGGTATTATTGTGGATTACTGTGTGGAGGGAGTTGTATTTGTGTGTGTATTGAGCCCCATTCACATTTGTAAGTTTAGGTGCGATTAGGGATTCCTGCGTCAGCAACTTGTATTGCAGGAATCCCTAATCTGGCGTTTACAAGCAGCAGCCGTCACTAATTTAAGTTAATGATCTGCTGTCAGCCGCTGCATGTACACGCCTACATACCGCATGTAATATGACTACATGTCACTCTCTCTGGACGCATTGATCGATGCATCCAGGGATAGTGATCGATTCCTAATTGCATGGAATTATATCGCATACCATTACATGCGGTGTGCAGGTGTTTACATGCCGCAGCGGTCACCTGAAAACACTTTCTTAGCCCTTGCAGTGCAGTGACCGTATGTTCCTCGGTGCCCTCATATCAAATACACTGTGTATAGAATGTGATGACTCAGGGACTGTTGCAGCTTAGAGGGACCGGTCTCAGAGACAGCCGGCCATAAAGATGATAACTTTGTTATTTTAGCACCTAGCCAAGCCTGTACACTAGCACAAAAACTGGCTCTTAACCCTTGCAATGCGGGAGTAGCCCCACTGCAAGGGTTTAGATCATTTTTTACAGGAGTTCTGCTTTAAATAAGATAACTAAATATATATATTGTTTTCTAATTACAGCAAAACACCTCCCAAAAATAACAAAATAAAAAGTCGGTCTTTTCCTGAAATATTCACCTTCAGTGCAGAGATTTCCCCCGCAGTACATTTTTTCTGCTACTAGATGTCCTCAGTGTGATGGCCAGCATCATTTAACTCCCTTCCCCTGAGCCCAAGTCTATCTGGACCTGCCCACAGCCTGTGACTGGACAATGAAAGGAGAAGCAGCACAGGGATGAACTCATCTCTCTGTCACTCTGCCCTCTCCTCCCATTAGCATGCTCCTTGTCAGCCCATAAACTGATTGGCTCCTTGTGCTGCTTTTTCCTCCCTTTAGGTGCCCATACACCTTACAATTATCTGCAGATTTTCTGTGGTCAGATGGAAAAAGTGCAACAGATTGGCCCAGGTGGAGATGACTCCATCCACAGTTAAGTGTAGATGGAGGGATCTGTTGCACCTTTTCCATCTGACCACAGAAAATCTGCAGATAATTGTAAGGTGTATGACCAGCTTTAGGATGAGCTCTGTTGTACAGGGACTGCAGGAGATGGATACCAGGCAACATTCCGGTACTTACATTGCTTTCATTTAAAAGTGACATTAAACCCTCAGATTTTTTAACATAAACCAATACTGTAATGTGCGCCCTACTGTAATCCATGGTAGTTTACCTTCTCTTTGCTGCTCTTCCTTTTAAATCCTCTCTCTTCTCATGCTTGGGGAGAACTTCCCTTTGCAGCTCAGGGCCTCTTCCTGTAGTGCTGGCTCATGTTGTGAACCTTCACACAGACACCGTGTAGCCTTTCCAGAGACAAGGCAGTCTGCTGCAAAACAGAAGTTCTGCAGAGCATGAGAAGAGATACGGATTTAAAAAGGAAGAGCAGCAAAGAGAAGGTAAACTACAATGGATTACAGTAGGGCGCACATTACAGTATTGGTTTATGTTAAAAAATCTGAGGGTTTAATGTCACTTCAAATAAATGTAATCATGTATTAATGATCACAGAGCTGCATTCATTTGTGTCAGAAGAGTCTCCCGCATACCTCCTTCAGGACAGACTTGAAATAGGAGCGTCCGGGCCGGGATGGAGCCGGCTTGTTGGACGGGCCATATCGGTTTGCGTTCCTCTTGTTCATGGTGTCGGCTTTAACCTTCGGGGCTTCCCCTTCTGTCACGAAGACCAGCTTCACTCCCATTAAGTTCAATGAAGAGACGCGGAAAAAGAGATTCCTGGAGGAACAAGGAAATTAGCACATGGAACGTCAGTGGTGGTTCTTGGATATGACTGTGATCATGCAATCAAAATTATTTGAATAGCCTCATCAATGCTCGTCCAAAAATAGTTGCATTGTGTGTGGTTAGGGCCGTCCTGCATATACGTCCAGATATATCGAATGCTGAGCAGCTACCAAAAAAAAATATCAAGTCACATGTCTAGACTATTGATTCCCAGCATGCAATGTGACCGTGCACTACGCTCCTATAGTCCGCCCACATGATCACAGGAACAAGCTTGGAGCTTCTCTCCTTCACTAATCTGCTCCAAGCTCACTCTCGGGATGGACTACAGTGTCAATACAAATGAATAAACTGAACATGAGATTGTAGTCCATCCCGGGAGTGAGCTTGGAGCGGTGACTACTTTACAACACACACAGGGACCATGGGGAACAAAAGTAGCCACCCCCCAGAAGGAAGGACAGTGTCAGCACCAATTCAGAGATGATTGGAGGATCGACAGCCGAGTGATACACAAATAATATACATATTTAATAGTTTAGGCACTTGAAGGTATTTTTACGATTTAACGTCGCTTTATTACTGTGCTACTGGACGCTTTGTCCTCTTTTTCCCGTTCTGGAGGCGTCCAGATCTCCCAACACTTTCTATACCAGTTAATGTTAAACGTTCGCCAGGACAGATAGAGGAGGGGGGCGAATCTCCCCAATAAGAAGAAATTCAACTCTATAGGAGCTCACTGTGCAAGCTGAGCCGATGCTGAAGAAGAATAAGGCCAGGAGGAGGTCAAAAGTGGAGGTGGCTGCGGTCATCACGCTCAGTCTGGGGGTTCTAGCTTAGTCTGCTAGGGTGAGTGGACTGATAAGAGTCTCAGTAACTGTGAACTTGTTCTTCAAATGTGTTATAAATGTGGATAACGGGGAAGCGGCACTTGTATGCTTCATTAACTCATCCTATAAAAGGTCTGGAAATAAGTGTGATAAGAAGGTGGATTCTGGGATCGCAGGTGAAAGCAAACAGCTGCGACCGTTCAGCCTGTAGAAAACTATGACAGGGGCTGCAATTGTTCCCATATATCCGCACATCCATCGGTTACCTGCGGCTAGGGACAGATGACCGGTCCTGGACCAAGGCAGATTGCATTCAGGGCCAGTCATCTGTTCCGAGTCACAGGTAACTGCTGATGTGCGAATAAACACGAACAGCAGCGGACAGCTGCGGCTCCTGAAAGCCGGTCATTGCTTTGCACAGGCTGAGTCAATGTACAGCTGCCTGAAAGCATTTTTGATCCCAACCACAGATTCCTACTGCATGTGGGCACTTTTACTGTGTGAATGAGGCTCCCCCTGTAATAAAGACCAGTCACTGCTGCTCTCTCTTTGTGCAGGGTGACTGGTCTTGTCTCCGCCCCCTCCTGTAATAAAGACCGGTCACTGCTGCTCTCTCCTTGTTCAGGGTGACTGGTCTTGTCTCCGCCCCCTCCTGTAATAAAGACCGGTCACTGCTGCTCTCTCCTTGTTCAGGGTGACTGGTCTTGTCTCCGCCCCCTCCTGTAATACAGACCGGTCACTGCTGCTCTCTCCTTGT